TTATCTATCAGAGTTTCCTGTACCAAGCACCTAGAAACTCTGTAGAGGAATAGCAGAGCAACTCAAGGTTAAGAGAAGCATACACAGGGAAATTCCTCTCCCTTCCAAATTGCTCAAGGAAGGAGAAATACGAAGCTCTGGAAAACTCGGAATGACGAGATAGAAAACCAGATAGGAGGCAGATGTTGCTGCTCAAACACAGAATATTCCTCTCCCCCAGGGCTGGAAAGGAGGCACAGCTTCCCCAGGAAAAGACATTCAGCATTCAGGGAGAGCTGAGGGTATCAAGTGAGAAGGGAAAAAAAGGAATCCACATAGTGGGCAGTCCCCCAAGTCCAAATGAGGAGAAAGACCAATCCCAAGCAGGAAAGAGAAACTGCCTGCCCACTCCCCACCCAAGTAAATCTCAAGAGTAGGAAACAAGAAACATAATAAAATAGGAGACTGCAGAACATCTGAGTTCCTTCTGTGTCTCTCCTTAAACACCCTGTGGGGGAGTTTCTAATCGCCCCCCCCCCACGTGAATGCCTACAACTGAGGATAATACTGAATTCTCTCTAGATTGTGTTTTTTTCCTATGTGTATATACCTAAAGCTTAACTCATAAATAAGTCATGAGAGGACAATAATAACCAGTAAGCTAAAATAATACAAACTGGATAAACGTTATATGGAACTATCTGGTCTCTCAAAACGCTTTACTGCACACAGTATTTAGGACTGCAGTTGACACTGGCTAGCTGAAACCAAATGCCAAGCTGTGGGGGGTGGGGTGACTGTTGTAATGAGAAACTCAGCCAAAAGATGCAGACAAATAATAAAAAAGCAAACTGCATAACCTATCAGTATATGGTCTTATAAGCAAAGATGTATGTGGATGGATACAATATTTTATTTTCAGGGACCCACACACAGAAATGCTTAGCCTTATTCCTGGCTTTGTGCTCAGGGATCACTCCTGGAGGAACTTAAGGGTGCTGAGAATGGAACCCAGGTTGCCATGTGCAAAGCAAGTGCCTTACTCACCATCAGATGGCCCCAGTGGACACATTTTATTTCAGTAGGTAAGAAAGGACATCCATCCATTATAGGCACAATGCCTGGGCAGGGAAGAATTTCATGGTCTACACTATGTATTATTTGAATTCTGTTTTGGAAGGGTTCTACTTTTTCTTTTCTTTTTTTTTTCTTTTTAGGTCACACCCCGCGATGCACAGGGGTTACTCCTGGCTTTGCACTCAGGAATTATTCCTGGCAGTGTTCCTGGCAGTGTTCAGGGGATCATATGGGATTCTGGGAATCGAACCTGGGTCGGTCTGATGCAAGGCAAATGCCTTACCCACTGTGCTATCGCTCCAGCCCCTTGTTGTTGGTTTTGGCTTGGGGATGCTAGGGTTTGAATCCGGGACTGCTACATGCAAGTGCCTGCTGTACTGTCTCTCTGGCCCCTAGGAGGTTTTATTTTTTTGGAGGGGGGGCACACTTGACAGTCCTCAGGACTGACTCCTGGCTGTGCTTGGGGAACCTTCTGGGGTGCCAGGGATCTAATCGAGGTCAACCGCATGCAGGACACGCAAGTGTCTTATCACTATGCTCTCTATGTCCCATCCCCCCACTTTTTTATGTGGCACTGCGGTGTCACACATATAGGACATGCACTTTAACACTGAGTCACTGCCCTAGTCTCTTTTTGGAGGTGGGGTGGGGAGGAGGTTGGTCACACCCAGCAGTGCTTATTCCTGTCTGTGTACAGGGATCACTACTGGTGGGGATCGGGGGATCGTATTGGGTGCTGGGGTCAAGCCTGAGTCAGCTGCATGCAAGGCAAGAGCCCAGTATTATCTCTGGCCCCTCAACAGCCTTTCTCTTTATTTTTTTTATTTTTGGCTTTTTGAGTCATACCCAGTGATGCTCAGGGGTTACTTCTGGCTCTGTACTCAGGAATTACACCTGATGGTGCTAGGGGATGTCGGGGATCCAATTTGAGTGGGCCGTGTGCAGAGCAAACATCCTATCAGCAAACATACTATCATTATAGCTCTCCCCAGTCTATTTTTATCTAGACAATATCATCACTCATTTATGAAATAGTAAATAAAAAAATAAATAAAAGGAAGAATTGATGTATGGACAAAGGAAAGGAAGGGGTAAGAGAGAAACACCAAAGTCACCAAATCCAAATTCTAACAAGCCTCACCCCCTCCTTCCTAACTCCTTCCTCCCCTTAATATGCTTGCTCTGGAGAAGGGAGAAAGGCTTTTCATTTAATTAAAATGTAAAATGCTTTCTTTTTTTTAACTGACTGGCGGCTCTCAGGATATTCTGCCGACTCAGCAATGAATAATCAGCTTTGACCTAAATAATAGAATAACTCTGAGTGGCCATTGCCTTGCAGAGAGAGGCGTGATCCGAATCTGCAGTTCCTTCTCTCTCCATCTCCATCTCCTCTCTCCCCTCCCCCAGGCGGATGTGCAGGGAAGCCAGTTTCAGCAGGTTCTGCCTCTCCTCCCCTCCATCTGGATCTTTGCGCCATCAGTCCTCTTCTGATCTAGCTCAAAACTCTCTCCCCAGGAAACTGGACTGGACCTGATCTCCTCCCACCCCCAACCTGGCCCAGGGCTGGGCCACACCTGCCTCTGCTGATGTCTCCTCCCGAGTGCCCGCTACCTTTCCAGCCCCTCCAACTCTCAGCTAACAGTGGCGGGAGCACATATCAATCTGCCAAAATGACACAGCAGAAAGCAGAGCTTCAGACATAAATTACTTGCAGGCCATCCCAAGCCGTGACTGCTTCCAGCAATAGTACCGCTGGATTTTGCTACTCTCGGCTCTTGTTTCCAAAGAGCACGAGATCGACCCGAAGCAACTGGCTTGCCTGGTGCGCGCAGAGTGGATGGAGCACAGTGGGATACGGTGCAGGTGTGAGAGATACCAGCATTGGGGGCGGGGGGGGAGCCTCCACCAAACCTTTCTGACAACCCACTTTCTATTTTACTGATCCCCTATGAGATCAGAGAAGCCTACAGAACTGTAGGCTCCAAACTTAAAAACACGCAACAGGGCCTGGAGAGGTGGTACAGCGGGTCGGGCACTTGCCTTACACGTGGCTGACCCGAGTTTGATCCCCAGCACCCTATACAGTCCCCAGAGCCCCACCAGGACTGAGCTCTGAGCACAGAGCCAGGAGGACACCTTGAGTGGTCTCCAAACAAAAACCAAAACAGGCAACAACAACAATATCCAACAACCAAAAACCAGCCACTTCTGTGTAGGGCGAGTTACAGCTTCGCCTAAGTTTCTGCACGTGTGTGATCTGTGGGGTGGGGGGAGGGGTGTGGGGGGAGAGAGGCTTTGGGTGGGGGCACCATGCATGGCCCTTTGCGTTACACCCAGGAGGAAGGGCGCAGACAGGGAGAGGGGAGGAATTGTTCTCCATTTCCCTCAAAGGAAAAGAGAGCAATAAACCTGAGCTTATAAAGAGGTTTCTTTTCTGCTCATTAAGATGGAACGTACTGGAACACATTATCTCAAGGACACTGAAAAATTCCTGGGTTGGGAGTGGGAGAGCACTGGCCTGAGGGGTGAGGACCTGCCTGGGCTTCACCCCCAGGGCCATGTCCCTCACCCCCACTCCAGCAGCACACTGGTATGCCTGGGTATTGCCCTTCCTGTGGGGACGAGGGTCCTGGATGCGGAAGAGCAGTTTCTGCCCCCCTCTGCAGAGGTCAGAGGAGGCTGACTGAGCTTGCATGGGAGGGATGGGGGTCTCACTCTTGGGTCAATTTCTGAGTTCCCCCTCGGTGGGGTGCTGGCAGGGTCCAGGTGAGGGGTGCTTGACAGCCTTCCTTTCAGCAGCGGCTTAGCTCGAGTCAGGGACCACGGCTTTATCTCCTGGGACAGTTTGCACCTGCTGGCCTAAGGGGACAGCCACTGGGTTGCACTCCTGCAGACGATCTCCACACAAGGCGTCACTGACCCGCGGCAAAAGAGACTTGGCGTCCAGCTGCCCAGGCCACCCTATGGCCTGCTTTCCCTCTGAGGCTGTGGCCTGAACAGCCTGAAGCTTCTCAAATTTTAGATAGAGGGTAAAGGTGGCCTCTTGTCCAGGGCACTCTGGCAGCATCAGGAGGAAAAAGGAAGCTGCGATTGCAGACAGGACAGCCTGAAACTGCAGCGGCTGCACTCACATGTCCTCCTTCCCACCAGCATGTGTCCCTTCTCAGGCAGAAAAGCACAAGGTTCCCTGCATCCCCACGCCCCCTGCCCCCAGAGCCCGCTCCCATAGCTTCTGGACACACACACACACACACACACACACACACACTGAAGTGGCAGAGAGGAAGGAGACCCAGAGACAGACTATCTCACACATCCTCACACCCCCACAAAGACCCCCCTCCCCCCCCACGGAAAGTGAAGAGGAAGAGAGAAGGAGACCCAGAGACAGGACCATCATACACACAACACACACACACACACACACACACACACACAGAGTAAAGAGGAAGAAAGGAAGGAGACCCAGAGACAGAATCATCACGTCCCCCCCGCCACATACACACACGAAGTAAAGAGGAAGGAGACCCAGAGATAGGACCATCTCACACACACACACACACACCACGTACACATGAGAAGAGGAAGAGAGAAAGGAGATCCAGAGACAGGCCAACCATAACCACCACCACCACCACCACCACACACACACACACACACACGGGGAAAAAAAAGAGGAAGAGAGCAAGGAGACCCAGAGACAGGACCATCACACACACACACACCACATACACACACACACACACACCCGCCACCCCTCCCACCCCACCCCCCACACACACACACGAGGAAGAGAGAAAAGAGACCCAGAGACAGGGCCTTCACCCCCCCCCCCGCCCCAACACACACACACACACACACACACACACAGGAAATAAAGAGGAAGAAAGGAAGGATGCCCAGCGACAGGACCACCACTGAGAAGGTCCAGAGCAGCCACTTACACAAGCAGATGGCAGCCAGGAGTCGAAGGCCGGACTCCGGGGGGAAGCAGGTGGGAAAGAGCGGCTGGAGCACATAGTTGGAGAAGGTGAGGGCGATGACAGCCTGGTTGGTGGGGTAGATCACCAGCACCGCGATCCACAGCCTCAGGAACCTGCAGGGAGAACAAGACAGGGCTTGCGTGGAGACAGCTGAGACCCCCGTGGCCGCACAGGCATGGCGGGAATTCAGAAGACAGCAGGGGGAGCCCTGGCCGGACCAGGAGCAGTGGCAGAGGTCAGCAGGCCAAAGGGCTCAGTTTCTTTCTTGTTGAGAACTGCTGAGGAGTCCAGCTTCCACTCAGACACACATGACAATGACAGAAAAATGATTTAATGAGAAAGGGCCAAGTTTCAACATGGAGAACATATTTTTTTGGTATTCTCTCCCCTTACCCTCTTTCATAATCTCTCTGTCCCCACCCCTCTAACATCCAGTGGTGGAAAACAAAAGTTGCAACCCCAATTATCTACTTTATTTTTTGGCATGGGGGAGGGGTGTTTGGGACCACACGCAGCTGCGCTCAAGGCTTTCTCCTGGCTCAGCACTCAGGGATCACTCCTGGCAGGGCTTCGGGGACCGCGTGGCTGCCAGGGAATGAACCCAGGTAAGTCACATGAAAGGTAAATGCTCTACCAACTTACTATCTCTCGGGTCCCATCAGGCCCTGCCAATCTGCCAATGGTTCGAAGAGTAAAGAAACTGCCTGAAAGGGGCAGGAATGATAGTACAGCAGGTAGGGCGTTTGCTTTGCATGCGGCCGACCAGGGTTCAATCCCCGGCATCCCATATGGTCCCCTAAGTACCGCCAGTAGTAATTCCTGCGTGCAGAGCCAGGAGTAACCCCTAAGCGTCGCTGGATGTGACCCAAAAAGAAAAAAAAAAAAAAGAAAATGCCTGAATAGGCACGGGCGCGAGGGGGGGGGAGGCGGGAGGGGCAAGTGTCCCCCACACAAGTGCTCACTGGCTCACTGCGGGGCTCAACTCTTGAGCAGTTCGGTGGAAACCGAGGAAATTCAAGATGAGGGCCTGGCCCTAGAGGGAGGTTTTCATCCTTGCGAATGTGAGAAAGGGGTTCTCTTTAGTAGCTGCTCTCACTGGTTGGATAAAAGGGGCCTTGTGCTGGGCCACACAGAAGGTTCAGGGGCTAAGGTACTCGCCTTGTTGGTGCAGCAGCTTAACCTGGCTCAATCCTCAGCACCAGATATGGTCCCCTGAGAGCGATCCCTGAGTACAGAGCCAGGATTAAGCCCTGAGCGCTATTGTGCTGGGCCAGCCCCCACCCACAGGCAAGCAGGGGGGGTGGACTTTGCACTGTGAGGTGCTTTCGGGTGTCTTAGGTAAGCCTGACACAGACTCCTAGTTTGTGCTTACAATCTTCCCCGGTTGGATCAACATAAGGATGATGAAAACGAACACCCCAGCCGGTTGTTCTGCCATGCGCAGGGCTACGCTAGAAACCGTGACACAGAGGCTCAAAGGGATCCCAACCTCTGGCTTTCCCCAGAAAATGGCACCCCAACCAGAGGCTGCCTGCATCCCAGGAGGGCGCTGCAGGCCCCCTTACCCAGCCAGGCCTCCAAAGATGTCCTTTACATAGGAGTAGTCTCCTCCGGATTTGGGGATGGTGACCCCCAGCTCTGCGTAACACAGGGCTCCCACCGCCGTGATGAGCCCCGTGACGATCCAGACGATGAGTGCGAAGCCTACGGAGCCGGCATTCTCCAGCACACCCTTGGGCGAGACAAAGATTCCAGAGCCAATGATGTTTCCTGCATAAGGAACCAAGGAAGACACTGTCAGCACCGTGGAGGTGGGGGGGGGCAGCTGCCGAGGTGAATGCCTCTCAGATCTGGTGGGAAAACCGCTTTTGGGAGGTGTGAATCACAATCAGATGGGGTGCTGAGTAGCGATTCTGTTTCTCAGTAGGGGCCAGAGGGCCAGACAGTGGACATGATGTATGACTAAGACCATGGCCAGGCACTTCCCATTGCCATTCAGTCCTCAAAGGACAATACCACGGGTTGGATCAAATTCATCCATTTTAGGGGCTCCGGGGATGAGGGAGATGGCTCAATGAGGTAAGCAGCTGCGCTGTATGAAGATGACCTGGTTTGAGCCCTGGCACCACACGGTCCCCCTGAGAATGACCCAAGTTCAGGGTTCATAACTGCACCTGAGCCAGTGTGGGCCCCAACAAAATGAATGTTCCCTCTTTACAGATGAGGAAACTGAGTCTCTGAGCTACATGGTATGCTGTCCACAGAACAATAAGTGGGAGCCAAGGTCTGAAGATCAGGACTTTCTCACACGGTCCAGCCTTGGTAGCAAGACTTAAGACGGGTCATCAACAGCAGGACTGGAAAAGCAGGCTAGGCTCAGAGGCCGGAGAACAACCAGTTACAACATTTCAAGAATGAGCCGAAGGGCAGCAATGTTTGAAGAAACCCCTTGACCAGGGTTTTTTTTTTTAAGACCTGGGGAGCATTGTCACACTCCTGAAGGCTGGCCTCTACCCCAGAAAGGACAGCCTCCGGCTTTGGTGAGGAACATCAAAGAGCTTATAACTGGAGTCAGCAGTTTGGAAGTAGTTTGTAGAGGGCACAATGAGTAAACCCTCCACATTGTGTTCTTCCAGAGGTCACTCCCCCCATTGTTTCAAGTGACCGTCCAAAGCCTCATGGAATTCAGGGAGAGAAGGGAAAAGCAGGGGGCAAGGGGCTTCTCTAGGTCTCATACTCAGAGAGTAACAGAAGGCCAGAGACCAGCTTCCAGTTCCATGACCAATGTGGGAGACACTGTCCTGGTGCTTAACCCAACACTTCATGCACTTCTGCTGCAGCTGACAGGGGCTGGTAGGACTGGCAGCAAGAGTGAATGGGCTGCTAGTGCAGGGCAGGAAGGAGGTGGGGTTCAAGCAGCTCCATGCCCGAGCATCCTTTTGTCCACCTCTAGTGTGATGAGGGCTCACTGGATGACTGCTCTGATAACAATCCCCATTCCACCAGTGGCCTGAGGGGAGGCAGACTCACTGGATCCAGAGAATTCAAAGGTCTGTTACGCTCATCCATGTTCTGAAGACACCAAAAATCCTCGCCACATCTCTTCTCTGCTTTGGAACTTATTCTGGGCTCAGTGAGATGCAGAGGGTGACATTTACATAAGCTCACTTTTCCGAAACCACTTTTGGAACTCAACCTCATTCCAGTCCTGACATTTTCACTTCTGCACCAAAATTCAGTATTTTCTCCCCAGCCCACACAGGTAAGGAGAGCGGCCTTATCCGCAGGGCACATAGGTGAGGAGAGGGACCCAGGGGTGTCACTCAGTGGTATGTTGTATACAGGAGGCCCTGGGATATATCTGTTCCACAACCATGCAATCACGTTCTATATATTCTGGGAAGCAGAGTGCCCTGCCCCTCTGCCCCTTTTCAGACTTTGCACATCATGAGATGAGAACCGGGAGAGGGGACCAAATGGGCACAGAAGGAGTCAATCTACAATTCAGATTCCAGGGCCAGAAAGATAGTCCAGAAGGTGAGGGCATTTGCCTTCCACGCATCCAACCTGGGTTTGATACCCGGCATCCCTGCTGGTCCCTCGAGTCCACAAGGAGTGATTCCTGAATGCAGAGCCAGGAGTCAACCCTGAGCATGGCCAGGTATGGCCCAAAACTCTAAAAATAAAAGAAATGCAGAATCACATGGCATGGGGCCACAGCCAGTTGGAGAAGAAATACTTTTCTGTCACAACTCTCTTGTTCTGAGGGCTAATAATCTAGCAACTGAGCAAGACTGTATGCAGGGTTGAAGCTAATACACACAACAGCCCCTCACTCACATTTTGTTCTCTTCTCCTGCTGTTAACGATGGGCGTGGTGGGATTGTACCCAGGTCCTCATACATGAGAAGCAGGGACTCTACCACTGAGGTACAACCCCAAAGCCCTTCATTCAAATCTGAGATATAAAGAGAGAAATCAGGCAAAATCAAGCAAAGAGATTCTGGGTTTGGCCAGATCTGGGTGTTACAAATCCTAAACATCAGGCAAAGAGAGATTCTGGTTATTACCAATTTTATTTTGGGGGGGGGGGGCATACCCAATTGATGCTCAGGAGTTACTCCTGGCTCTGCACTCGGGAATGCTCAGGGAACCATATGGGGATCAAACCTGGGTCAGCTATGTGCAAGGCTAGTGCCCTACCCATACTACCAGCACTTGGGTTTCAGGTGTAACCATTTATTAGAGGGATTTCCTGTTCTTGTCCTTCATGCCAAGGTGCAGGAGTATCTTTCAGACCTCCTTTCTCCTTGACCTGTGCCCTTGGTGCCTGAGGAGTGAATGTTGGGTGAAGGAGTGAAGGGAGACATGGTCCCAGCACTCAGGACACATCCACCCACCCCTTCTCCTGTACAGTGAACCTGCCATGGTCCACAATGGAAACCCAATGCTGAGAGTGAAAGCAGGGCTGGGTAAGAGTGTTGAAAGATGTTGGTAAATCCCTTGCCCAGCAGGAATTTATCAGAACTGATCTACAGGGCATTTAGAATCCAGCCAAGAAGAGAGCAATACAATTAGGGCTATAAATCTGAGCTCAAGAAGTTATAAAAACAATACTGAGGAAAAACAAGGCTTAACTTTGGTCCTTCAGAAGGGAGGTGTGGAGGTGGCTAGTTTTTTTTTCTCTAAACTAGGAATGGCTGCGGAGAGGGAGAAAATGAGGGTGGATAAGGTGGGAAAAAAATCAGATCGTCTCGGGAATGAAGCGTGTCAACAACCCTTGGACGGTGCTTGGGAAACCAACACCACAGTGGAGACCAACAGTCCCTCTGTCCTGCTGAGGTTTCAAAGCTTCCAGTGTGTGTGGGGAGCCCCGAAGGTGACAAGTGCCTCACTGACAGCCTTCTTGGGGTCTGACCACTTCCGGACTCTTGTATTCCTGGATAGCAAAGGTCCTTCCATGGAGTTGCTGGAATAACAGTGGAGCTCATCCTATGTTGTCTTGGGTTGAGAGTTCTTTTGGGGGAAGGAATGTGGGGGTGAGGGGCATACCCGGCAGTGCCCAGGTTTGGCTGCTTGCAAGGCAAGTGTACTATCTTTCCCACCCCCAAGGATTCTTATTTTATAAAAACTGGGTCTCCCCTGGCCCTGTCTGAGTTTTGACCTAATTAAAATAACACATGAAATCTAAAAAAAAAAATTGTTTTTTAATTATGCTAGCCAAAACTGTGCGCCAAAGAACAGGAAGAGGAGGAGGACAGCTGTCCGCTGATACTAGGAAGCTACCACATAGAAAATAAAAATCAGATAACATCAATCTTAGCAGCCTCTAAGGAATGTCACTCAGAGGAGCCATCTGGAGCTGACCAAACACTTACTCAAAAGTTGTTACCAGGGGCAGGAGTGATAGCACAGCGGGTACGGCGTTTGCCTTGCATGTGGTCGACCTGGGTTCAATTCCCAGCATCCCATATGGTCCCCCAAGCACGGCCAGGAGTAATTCCTGAGTGCATGAACCAGGAGTAACCCCTGTACATCGCTGGGTGTGACCCAAAAAAGCAAAAAAAAAAAAAAAAAAGTTGTTACCAACTGGGCTGAAGTACAGCAGGAAGGGTGCTTGCCTTGCATGGGGCCAACCTGGGTTCAATACCTAGCAACGTATATGGTCCCCAAGCACCACCAGGAGTAATTCCTAAGTGCAGAACCAGAAGTAACCTCTGAGCACTGTGGGGTCGAATCTCAAAAACAAACCAAAAAAAAGTTGTATCTATCATACACTGCAGTAGGGCGTTTGCCTTGCACGCAGCCAACATGGCCGACCCGAGTTCGATTCCTCTGCCCCTCTCGGAGAGCCCGGCAAGCTACCGAGAGTATCTCGCCCGCATGGCAGAACCTGGCAAGCTACCCGTGATGTATACGATATGCCAAACACAGTAACAACAAAGTCTCCAGTGGAGATGTTACTGGGCCCGCTTGAGCAAATCGATGAACAACGGGAGGACAGTGATTTTTTTATCATACACATCATCAGTGTGAACAGATGGTTAATATCTATCTCCCCCAATTATGGAAGACCCATAAGAGCAGAGACCAGGCTGCCTGCTCTAGCCTGTGGCACACAAGACACTTCATCAAAGTTTACCAAGTGAGGGCTGGGGAGAGACCTTCCAGGGGAGCCCAGGCTCTATGGTGGGAGCCTGGATCCATCCCAGCACTGCACACTTCTTCAAGTGCTAGACAGAGCAACCTCCAAGCATCTGGTAGGGGTTGCCCCCAAATACCCTCTTGCAAATAACCCCCTGAATAAGGTTCGGGGGCTGTGGTATGTGAAGCCCTGGGTTCTCTAGCACCAGCACACCAAAAAGAAATCAATAAAAATTTACCAAATGAGGGGCTGGAGCGATAGTACAGCAGGGAGGACGTTTGCCTTACATGCGGCCGACCCAGGTTTGATCCCCACCATCCCAGGTGGTCCCCAGCACTGCCAGGAGTAATTCCTGAGTGCAGAACCAAGAGTAACCCCAGAGCATCGCTGGGTGTGACCAAAAAAAAAATTACCAAATGAAGGATGTTTGATATCAGACTAGGACATATCTCCATAAAGTAATCACACAGACCTTTTTTCTGGAAACTTCATGTTCTGAGAATTATGTCCAGTGTGCACGGCAGGCAGAACAAAGCACCTCTCTCTTCACTGCTGAAGAGAGCAGACTGGCTATTCTTGCCATCTCCAATTTGGAGGGAAAGAAAGTAGGGCAACCATTATTCCC